ACCCAGTCTATAGTTATGTGTATTATGCTGTGTCTATTGGTACAGATGAATCGTCCTCATTCTCATCTCTTCTAATAGTCTCTGGTGATAATAATACCAATATAAGAATCACACCAACAGTGACTGTTACTATACCATCTAGTCTCACCTCATCAGGTAATCAGATCAGTCTTAATGCTGGACAATCAATAACAATACAATTACAATACCTGGAGACATTTTTACTCAAACCAACTGTAGATAAAGCTGATTTAACAGGAACAAAACTTGAATCTAACAATCCAATATCTGTCTATTCTGGTCACACTTGTGTTGTTGGCTCAAGTTGTGATTTTGTTGGAGAGCAAATACCACCAGTAGCCTCATGGGGTAATGAGTTCCTAGTTCAATCATTTGCTATTTATAATCGTCAATCTGGTTATATATTGAAACTAATTGGATCACAGGCTAATACCAATGCCAATCTATTGTGCGATGAAGGTAATAGCAGTTATTCACTATCCCTTCAAGAAGGTAATATACTCAGTCAAACTATATTATCTCAAACTAGCTGTTACGTTAGTTCAACTAGTCCAATACTTGTGGCTCAGTTCTCAGTAACTGAACGTGATATGATAATCATTCCTCCATTGCATCAATATGCTTCTAACGTAACTAGTTTTAATCGCATATTTGGTGATTCTGTTGTTAATCTTGTTGTACTTGCTGCTGATGCTTCGTCACAGATACGACTGAATGGTGCACTTCTTCCATCCCTTACATCTAGCTCATGGGAATATTACAGTATTTTTTTTGTTAATGATTGTTATGTGTTTAACGATTATATTTTATTTAACTATGGTGAGGTTACTATTTGGTCTAATAACAGTGATGACAAGATATTGGTAATGGTTTATGGTTTTTATCATAGATATTTTTATTCTGGAAACATAGACCTGAAACCTTCGGAAGGTATGATTTTAATTTAATGCCATGCTATTTCAGTTTTTTAATTTTGTGGTTTTGTGTGCTCTAAAAGTATACCTAATTTTTGGCAGTGTGTGATTTTATTTTTGCTGATATAGGTATTATTATTGCTTTTTAAATTGAAATAATTAATAGATTTAATTTCCAGCAAAACAGTATATCTTAAAAGTTTTAGGTATTATTTAACAGGGCGTACTTTCCTCTATCTATTAAAAACAAAAAATTGTTTAACTTAATATTTTGTGACATACATGTACATAGATGAACTCAATATTAATTGCACCATTGTTAACCCCAAGGTTGGTTTTTGCTTGCTATAGGTTATATATGTGAACCGACTCCTTGTCAGAATGGAGGTAGTTGTACACTTGTTTCAGCTCCTTCTAATTACACCTGTGATTGTACTGGTACTGGCTATCAAGGGATTAATTGCTCCACCCCTGTTTGTAAGTACAATGATGTTAAAAATTTATGTATTATTTCCTTACCCACTCTTTTTAATGGGATTTGCTGTGTGGCTTTTCATCAACATCAATAAACTTGCTTAAATGTCTATATCTCTCGTACATGCATGTACCTCATATTATGCCATCTGTATTTCAGTATTTCTTGACCTTTACAATAGTTGAGAGAATTGTAATATTATTTAGTGTATCATAAATACTTTATCCCTCTCACTCACACTCTACCTCTAAACATTTGTGTCACAAGCTCTCTACTTACCTTTTCTTTATATCCTTTTCTCCTTTGGTAATTGTATTATTTGTAGTATTCAATTCTTTGATTTCTGTTTGATATAAATTACTAAGTTTGCTTGATTAAATGTCTAAGCATTTATTTTTAATTGCGGCAAAAATTGATCATAAAAATGCTGGCAAATGATAGGGCTCCTGTACTTGAAAAATTTGCATATCTATGACTGGATGATATTACAGAGATGGTTGCGAGCATTTGAGCATATATAGTACTCACTATTAGAATAGCGCATTTCTCAAAAATTGATAGTACTGGAAATTTGAATAGCAATAAAATGTTGGAATTACCGGTATGTATAATAATATTATATTTCCAATTCTGTACAGCATGTATAACTGGATCAATCAATCTTGTCAATGGTCCACATGATTGGGAAGGAAGAGTGGAAGTGTGCGTTAATGAATCATGGGGCACTGTCTGTGATAATAACTGGGACTCCACTGATGCAGCAGTAGTGTGTAGACAACTAGGCTGGGGAACAAGTGAGTTGATTCATTGTGATAGTTATATATAATATTATTATCAAAGGTGGAACTGCTCTATCAAGTGCTTACTTTGGTCAGGGTAATGGTAGTATCCACCTGGATAATGTCCAGTGCTTAGGAACTGAGCAGTTATTGACAAACTGCACACATTTAACCACCCACAACTGTGGACACTCTAAGGATGCTGGAGTAGCTTGTCATGGTTAGTTTCATAATCAAACTGTATTGTTAAGTAATGGGTTTATTACTTTAGTTTGTACTCCTGGTACTGTGCATCTTGTTAATGGATCAAACTCAACTGAAGGAAGAGTAGAACTGTGTCATATTGGAAGGTGGGGTACAGTCTGTGATAACTACTGGGACAACACTGATGCTAGTGTTGTATGTAGACAGTTAGGATATGATTCAGGTAAGATAAAGTTTTTAGGTTGCACAGTGAATGTCCCAACATAGGAACTGCCTTTGGTAGAGCTTACTTTGGACAAGGAACTGGATCAGTTTTGATGGATGATGTTCATTGTAATGGAGCTGAATCTTACCTTACGAACTGTACACACACTATATATCACAACTGTCGCCATTCTGAAGATGCAGGAGTCAGATGTGCCTGTAAGTATTTCATTCATAAATTAATGATGCACTAATTATTGTGTTCTTGTATTTTGCTATTCTGCTAGGGTTTAGAATTGTTTTTTTCTATTGGTGACCATAATTGACAAAAGGGCCCTTATGGTGGATTTTAAAAATGATTGTTATAATGGAAAATATCAACCTGTGAGTGCTTTGTTAGACAATCATTGTTTCTAAAAGTTTCATGGTAACTTTTTGCATCCTGTGGAGTAATTTTATGATGAATGGGGCTCAGGAAGTTGGATTTCTTAGGCTAGAAAGACAAATTTCACTACCCGCCATAAGGTACCTTTTGTCAATTATGGTCACATTGTTAAAACTAAATTTCCTCAAAATTTTATGTGAACTTCATTTCATACCTTTAGCACATCATGTCATGACTCATCAGTATATGCAAACTCAAAATTCAGCTGTATTTTTTGTTAGAATAATGGTGTTAAGCTAGATTGCATGCTTTTTTATGTGCAGCAATAATCACAAGGAAGGCAATACTGTCAGTTTGGTATTTTATACTAAGGGCTATTATTGTACATGGCATTTGAGCAACTTCAAAAATATGAAAAAATTTAACACAAATTTTCTGCACAACATAAGAATAAGTATGTTTATCACAAAAAATTATAAAATGGAAAATTCTCTATTAGCCATTTTTGAAAAAATTTGGACAAAGACAATAGCCTTTTGGCTATTGGCCAGATTTGTGAGCAACTTTAAAAATCAAATTTGGTTAAACTTTTATCAGCTCAAATATTCTGTACAACACAAGGAGGTGTATCAGAAAGAAATTTTTAATTGAAGAATCGTCTCCTTGTGATTTTTTGCTTAAATACTATGGAAAATTCTTTCCTGATTTTGCTGAAGTACCTGTACATTTGTACATTCGAATAACTTGACTAATCCACTGACAAGATGTTGCATGAGCATTATGATGAGAAACCCTGTTTGAATATGAAGTAACAAAGCAGTGTATGGTAAGTTTTATTTTATTGAATTTTATAGCCAGCTAACGTAGCTCTGATTATTGTTTTGGTGAAGTTTCCTTGCAGCTACTGCATGATTTTTTATTTATGTTACAATGAAGCTCTATTAGGCACAAATTAAGTTCATAGAAGCATGCATACTAGTATTCCCAACACATTTATTTACTGATGTTTCACAAAACTTAGTCTGTACCTGAGCTCTCATCTTCTTGCTATAGCTTTTAAATTACTAGTTCTGTTGTAAAAGTACACATACCAATACATTACTCTCCTTTGCTGGTACTAAAAGGTATGTGTGGCTGTAGCCTTAAGTTATAAATATAGCTAAAAATTTGGAATGTCAAATTTGGCAAATTCACTCTAAAAGAGGTTTAGAGGTTAAAATTTCAACTATATTCATGCTGCAACAGAGTCTTGTCAAAAATAGAGGCTAAAACTTGGGTGAATGGACCTCAATTTGCCAAATTTACCAAAATTTTTTTGTAAATTTTATAGCTAGACTATACGAGGCACTTTTCACCATACTTTTGCATTGCATTAATTATTACATTTATATTTGCAAGGCCATGTTAGTTCATGTGCTTGTTTATTTCTTCCTGTTTGCTTTAACGTTTGTTATATATAATAAGTGTGATGATGAACACAATGAAATACGTATTGCACTCATCATTATTTTAATTTTGGTACTTACATTTCTACTCATTGTGATATATACAAGAGTGTAGGCCTACATTAAATTTCATAGGAGGCCTACATTAGATCTCATAGGATGAACTATAAAAATTGTTCAGTAATGTATGATATATTGTGCAGCTTGGAAATATTGGCAGGAGTTAGATCTGGCCGGTAATTTTGTTAAAAATTGCAGCTGGTGAATTTTGTCTGTCATTGAGCATGCTCAGAATTAATAAAAATGACAGATTTAGTAAATGTATTGGTAGAGAATCACTTCAACAATTAACAAATTAATCCACCAATATTACTTCCCTGCCATTATTTGCAGCAATATGTATAGAGCAAACTTGCAATTTTTTACAGCATGTACTACTGGATCTATTCAGCTTGTTGGTGGCTCACATGATTGGGAAGGAAGAGTGAAAGTGTGCAATAATGGATTGTGGGCCACTGTCTGTGATAATAACTGGGACTCCACTGATGCAGCAGTAGTGTGTAGACAACTAGGCTGGGGAACAAGTGAGTTGATTTCTCATAGTTTTGGCAACTATAGTGATTATCACAGGTGGAAGCCCTCTATCATTTGCCTACTTTGGTCAGGGTGCTGTTATTCACCTGGATAATGTTCAGTGCTTAGGAACTGAGCAGCTATTGACAAACTGTACACATTCAACCGCCCACAACTGTGGACACTCTAAGGATGCTGGAATAGCTTGTCATGGTTAGTTTCATAATCAAACTGTATTGTTAAGTAATGGGTTTATTACTTTAGTTTGTACTCCTGGTACTGTGCGTCTTGTTAATGGATCAAACTCTAATGAAGGAAGAGTAGAACTGTGTCAAAATGGAAGGTGGGGTACAGTCTGTGATGACTCCTGGGACAACACTGATGCTATTGTTGTATGTAGACAGCTTG